CAAGAGTTCAAGGTTCAAGTATCTTGAAGCATAGCAAAGTGTTGCATTCCCACGATCCATTGAGTCGAGCTTTGCTGCAGTTGCAAAGATACTTGCCTGGACGAACCAAGCGAGGCAAACTTGGAAGGGGAAATGGTAGATCTTTAGGGGGGGGGGGGGTGCATATATATATATATATCATAAACTATATGTTCATAATATAACTGCTTGTATGTTCGGTGATATTACTGTAACTTACTATGCCATATGGCATTGTACTATATTGTGTAACACTACATTAAAATACACGCCAATGTTGTGTTGTGTTATACTACATGCTACGTCAATGTACTACGTTGTGACATGATGTGTTGTCTTCTGTTACCTTACATTACACTATGTTTCATGACATTGTAATGCGCCATATGATTTTCTGTTGTGTTAACCTCTGTTTGGCATCATTGCACCGTCTTGTACTGTATCGTATTGTCGTATGGTAATTTGTAGTATAACTTGCTATATGTAACATGATATGCCGTGTTATATACCTGAAGCTATAGTCACTATCGTCACTTTATAGTCTGCTCTACTCTACGCTGCGCTACTATACTGTACTCTGGCTAGTACAATCCTTTCCCATTCCATACCTTTCCGCACTCTACTATACTAACTACATTCGACGTTGCTGCACTGTACTCTGCTATACTACTATGCTATGTTATACAAAACGATGCTAGACTTTGCTAGACTACACTAATGACTTATAAGGACACTACACTATATTGAATGCCTGCGTCACGCAGCTTGGAAGCCCCGAAAGCCGCACAGTGCCATTACGGTTTGGAGGTTTAGATTAGGGCACACTGGCATGCATCTGTCTCCAAATCCCTGCCCGCTCTTGCAAAAAAACATTACCTGTCACTGACAGACTCATAAAATATTCCAACTGGTTTGGCTGTTTGGGAAAGTCAAGTCCACTCTCATCATTTACGTCGCACAGGTTTGAAAGCCAGACGCGTGCCTTTTGCATGCGCACTTCCAGCAATTCCAGGTCACGCTGCTTGGAAAGCGTCTTTGTCACGGATTGCAGGCCTTCCACCTGGAAATCCAGCTGTTGGGAATGGCATCTGCAACTGAATCATGACATGCAAAACATACATCTGCCAGCAGGCGAGCATCAAGAAACCAAAGCCTTGTCAGAAAGTCCTGATATCTCCGTGTTCAAAGCCTCGGAAGCGGCGAGCAAGACACTGGAGGTGCAGGAAGTGGCGTTTTGAGACATGGAGCTGTTTGGAAGATGACTCCTAGGTTTGCTATTGACGGGCCGTTCTAACCCACGCTGGCATCACACCGCCGTGAAGCAGCAAAAAGATTCGGCTCTCGCTGATACACGATGTGAAATTTTCTCGTGAAGATTGTTCCTCCCGTCCTTCTGCATTGCAACGGATTAAGAAAAGCTGCCGATGACAGTAGTAAAGAAGTAGTAGTAGTAGTAGCAGCAGCAGGAGTAGTAGTAGTAGTAGTAGTAACAGCAGCAGCAGCAGCAGGTTGGGGTGGGGGGCTGATGACGACATGGTCTTTATGCCTTCTCTGGACTAAGAGTTAGGGATTAGGGTTGAGGGTTTTAGATTTTAGGACTTTGGGCTTGCACTGCCAGGGTCTCGTGGTGGGGGTGGGGCGGGGCCGGGGGGGGCTAGTGACGACATGGTCTTGATGCCTCCTAATTATGGAGTAAGATCTTGTGGCTTAGGGTTGAAGGTTTCAGGTTTTAGGAATTTGGGCTTGCACTGCAACGGTCTTTACGACTTTGGGCTTGCGCTGCCAGGGTCCTGTGGTATAGGGTTGGGGGTTTCAGGATTTGGGGCGTTGGGCTTGCACTGCCAATATCTTGTGGTTGAGGGCTTTGGGTTTTAGGACTTTGGGCTTGCACTGCAACGGTCTTTACGACTTTGGGCTTGCACTGCCAGGGTCTTGTGGTTTGGGGTTGAGGGTGTTAAGTATCCCTAAACCCTGCCTACCTATGTCGGAGCTCTACAAAAAGCCGCTGCCGAGGACTCGCACTCACCACATGCACCATCATCATCATCATCATCAGCGTACTTAGTAGTAATTCCAAACAGTCAGTTGGCGTAACTTAATTTTACAGAAACTCTCAAAAATCTGGCAAAAGTGACCCTCAGCCACTCAAAAGCAACCCTAGTAGTAGTTGTATCAGCAGCAGCAGCCGCAGTAGCAGTAGTCGCAGTAGCCGCAGTAGCCGTAGTAGTCGCAATCGTAGTAGTCGTAGTAGTCGACGCAGTCGCACTAGCCGTACTGGAAGCATTAGTAGCAGTAGTAGTAGTAGTAGCAGCAGTAGTAGTAGTAGCAGCAGTAGTAGTAGTAGTGGTAGTAGTAGTAGTACTACTACTACTACTACTACTACTACCAATGGCAGATAACATTGGAGCAGTGGTAGTAGCAGTGGCTGTAGCAGTAGTACGTAGTAGTGGTAGTAGTAGTCGTCGTCGTATTAGTAGTAGTCGTCGTCGTCGTACTTGCTGTAGTTGTTGTTGCTGTCGCACAAGAGCTCTCTGCACATGCTCATCGACAAAATGTGCATGTACATAAGCAGAAACTGTGAAGATGGTATACCACCATAGCACATGACAACGAAGACTGCAGCCTCCTCTCAACTGCAGCAACACATTGATACACTGCATGAATATACAGTAATATACATCACACAATTACATAACAAAGGTTGAATATTGATAACTCACTATGCTGACGTGTACCCAAGAGCCGCGTATCTGTATCTGTGTTTGTGAGTCCAACGTCCATGCCCCACCCCTCCCACCCACACCACCCACCTACTCGACCACCTGCCTAGCCCGCTCCCCCCCTCCCCCGTCCCCGCCCACACAACATAAACCCGACAGCCAACTAGTCTTCCGAGAGCCTTCTAACCCCTCAACACTTCCCCGGCTCAGTTTCCGGCAGCGCTGCTGCTCTCCAAACTCTGCTGGAGAGTATCCAAACCTCGGTCACTTGATGGTTTGAGATTTAGGTATTTTGGAGATGACTTCATGGTTTAGGGCCGTTTAGAGATTTGACGGCTTCAGGACTTCACGGTTGAGGACCCTTTGCTGGATTAACGCAGTTAACTGTGCAACGCAAGGGGCTAATGAACTTATTGTGACTGTGAGGTCGGTTAGCTTTGTCAAGGTTCGGATGTCAAGCTGCAGGTCCAATGACTGAACGCACCCAACTAACAGCGCTTGCTGAGCCATGGGCGGCCATCAGTTGTCCGCAGATTGCGCTGCATCTCTCGTGAGGCCTCAACCGCTGCAGAAATCGCACAAAATCGCTAACAGAGCCTTTGACTGGTTGCTGTGACAAAGTTGCGAAGCCCGTGCTCCCGCTTTTGAACAATTAGCGCTTTTCGGCTGATGCATGCGGGTCAGGCCAGGCAGCACGTCGATCTTGCTTTTTCAAGACCACTGCACCCGTGCAGTATGGAAGGGAAGAAGTTCAAGACTTGCATGACTCGCAAACACAAGCCCTGTGTCATGCTCGTTCGGTCGATATCAGATGTCGAGAGCAGACAGAGCAGGCATAGCCACAAAGGTAGCCGGCAATGAAGGCAATGGAATTACGCTGGGGCGGTGCCTGACGAAGCACGATCCTCAGATCTCCGTTGCACCGGAAACAAATGCCACCGTCTTCGGATCGCCGCTGTCATCGAGCCATCAAAACCACCATCGTCATCAGAATAACAGCAGCATCACGAACATCATGAGTATCGTCGACATCGTACTGTCATCGCCGGACATGCAAGCACTGTTGTCACTCATTAACATCGCGTGGCTGGATCACGAACATGGCCATGATTTTGCTTACTCTTATCTATGATCTGGCCTACGAAAACTACAATCAGAATCAATCCTTCGGCCAGTCCCATATCATGGTGTTCTGGTGTTTGTGCTCTGTCTGTCCATTACCGAACATTCGTCTACACTCTTCCCGCCCGTGTGACTACATACTACGATTATTTGCATGGTCTAGCAAAAAAAGTTGGTTATTGCTGCCGTCTTACTATGTTCAATCTTACATTCATTCGCATGAATTACTCTTATTCGATTGGTTTTACTTCTAGGTTGCCCAGTATCACAGTTTTGAATGAGGGTACCCTGGTTTGCCGCTTGTTGCTTGTTCCCGTTTGTATACGGGCATCCCAACATGCTATTACAAAGAGCAACGGGGCACTGCTAAAGGATCTAGAAACCCAAAATGCCTCATGAAACCACATTAAAACCAATTCATAACGCCTAATCAAACCCCATTAAAACCAACTGACCCGTTTACAACAGTTTAAAACCCTACTGAAACCTAATAAATTATTCACAGAACTCTTGGTCTCGGTTTCAGTCTTGCCCTTGGTCTCAGTGTTAGTCTTGGGGTCATGTACGGGTTTAGGGCAGCTTAGGGTTTAGGTGTTACGGTTTGTGGTTTTAGGGCGGAGCGTCTTCGTCTCCGTCTCGTCCTGTCATGCTCTGCAGCAATATTGATGTTACCATTTGTAGCACTGTTGCTACATGTCCAAGCGTAACTACTCAGTGTTCTTGGTGCTTTCCATTCCCCACTAGAAGCATGATTAGTTGCGCTATTCGGTTACTGCTATTCGTGTGTTAACCACAAGTGCTATTTCTCTTTATCTTTTGCTACTCTTGGGGTATGGTTACCATAACTATACTATTACTCCTAGTCCTACTCCTGCTCCACTCCTACTCCTACAACTGCTACTACTACTGCTACTACTACTACTACTACTACTACTACTACCACTACCACCAACAACAATAATAGTCACAAATATCATAGTAATAGTATTGTTGCCATAATAACCATTACCCTAAACCCTAAACTTCCTAAACCCTACTACTCCATGTCCAGGCGTCACCTGCCCAGGACAAAGCACAGCACTCGATGGGATGCCTTCCGCCCAGCCGGGGCGCTCGGCCCAAGAACCGTAGCCAATGATCTCGGCAAAAGAGTTTTGGATTTAGGGTTTGGGATTTCGGATTGGGGTTTAGGATAGTTTAGGGTTTAGGGAGTTCGGGGTGAAGACACAAGAGGCTCCGTACACGTGCCACCTCGCACAGCGTGCTAGAAAGAGTTTTGCGTGCTGCCTCAGTAGCGCGCAAAAAGCTGAGGTGGAATGCAATATTTT